TATAGTAAATTTATATAGTAATCTGAGTCACATTTTACTATGATACTCTCTGGCTTACTCGTGGACTCCCAATTAATCATATCAGCATTTCGATAATTCTTTCGAATATTCAGATTATATATAAACCTTATCTATACTTCTCTCTCTCATCCTATTTTAATTCATCTCTATCTATATTTCTCATACACTTATATATTCTCTTTGTCTTTATATCTCTCTTTCTACTTCATTCACACATACTCTTATCTATATTATCATTATCATGAGTTATAAAAGAAAAGATTTGATTGTTAAAAAGACAACTAAAAAAGCTAATAGTCTTAAGTATACAAGGAACCACCACCCTGAATATTGCTTCTGCAATATCTGTAAAGGTGCCATTGTAGATCCAAGAATCAAAAAATCTCATATAGCTAATAGAGATATAGGGATGGTAAAGTTTGGTTTGGTTTGGTTTGGTTTGATTAAACCTTGATATATATAGTTAAAACCAAACCAAACCAACCTATAAAGTTTAAATTAACAGTTTAAAACCTTAATTTAAACCTGGTTTAGTTTATATAAACTTGGTTTGGTTTATATAAATCAAATAAATATTGTATTTTTTATGCACCCCTTATATAATTATGCATGATTATGCAAGAATATGCATATTCATGTAAGTTTATGCAAGGGGTACATACAAATATGTACAAATATGCATATTCATGTAAGTTTATGCAAGGAGTACATATAAATATATAAGGAGTACATAAAAAATATAATTATATATAAACTACATTAAAACTAGTTTAAACAGTTTTAAAAAACCAAACCTGGTTTGTGTTATAAACTATCTCTTAAACCAAGTTCAACTTGGTTTTTTAACAAACTTTACCATCCCTATAGAGATACTGAAGTAAGAAATTTACTTAATATAAGTGGATCTTCAACAACCATAAGTGTAAGAGACCTTCTGGAAATTCGATTTCCAGAAATAGAATTTCCAGTCATAGAAATTCCAGATAGCTCTATGCAATTTGATACTAGTAGTTCTGAAAATGAATCAGTTATTTCTTCATATGAAGAAGAATATAATTTTATTACTAAGACACAGCCCAAAAAAGGAAAAAAATCTGGTAATGGAGAGAAAAGGAGCACTCCATTATCTATAGAATTCATCGAAACCTTGTTCTCAGATAATGAAGAAGAAAAAGAAGAAGAAAAAGATAATGAAATTAATTTTAATGCTCCCGATTTATATGAAGAAAATAACCATCCAACTAAACCTGCAGATACAACTAATAATTTTATGTGGATTGTTTTTTGGGCTCTAAAATATCAAGCAAGATGTAAGTTATCCGATATACAAACCGGGTTTTTAATCAAATTTCTTCGGTACCTTTGTCTCTTTCATGACAAAATACATATGCCACCTTCCCTACGTCTTTAAAAATAGTATGCAAAGCTCTTGGTATTTTGTGCTTACATGATCAAGTATGTGACATGTGAAAAATGTTGTAAATTATATAGCGTTGCCGATGTGTCAACCGACAAGCCTAATTTATCATCCAAGATAAGCCATTGCACCTTCCAAAACTTTTCAAACCACCCAATGGCTAATAAAAACTACTCTGTGCTTCACCTATAACAAAAAAAGTTCTAGTAACTGGTGGAGTTATATTTAAACCAACCTTAATTTTTCCGTCTATTTTTTTGGCACATCAATTACAGTCATTATGTAATAGGAAGGAGTTTGAAGTAAATTGTAGGAAATGGGTAGATAGGCTTGTTGATTCCGGTATGGTTACTAATATCTATAATGGTAGAATCTGGAAAACCTTTCAGGTATTCTAATTTAACTAACATATATACAGTCAACTATCAATATAATGGATTTTTGTAAAATTCTTTGTATCCCTTAAACCGTCAGATTTAGCGGCCAAATATGGCTGCTAAAATTTATAAACAGTTGTTTCTAATCTAATTTTATTAAATATTAAAATATTTAAAAAAATTTTACAGGAAAATATTTGAAAATAAAGATTACAAAATAGTAATATTTATTTTTAAATTATAAGAAAAAAAAATATAGTTGCTTATATATTAAAAATATTGAAA